CCAGACCATATTATTTTCAACTGTATTATTAACTTTCATTTCACCAGTAAAATATCATCCCTAGTACTTTCTTAAATCTTAAAGCAGCTGACCCAGACGGCTTCTGTTCCATATCCCCTTCTAAGGCCCTCGGAGTATCCAAGTATTATTTAATGGTTTTTGAAACAGCAAAAACTTTTGGTCTTGCTATTTCTACAATTTAAATTATTCTAAGGAGATTCCAGAAAAGTGCCAGAGTGAGCAGAATTCACTCTGGTTTTATGAAGTTTTGAGTAACGCTGCCATGCTCCTCCCTGACATGCTGCTGGGTGATAAAAAGGCTATAGACAAAGTGGTCCGGTCCTAAAACAAAACTGTTTTAAAACTACAGGTGGCAATCTATAAGCAGTATTATATACCTTAAAGGCACATAGTGCTGTTTTATAGCATAGTCAAGTAGATATGTTACCTTCAGTTAGAAAAATGTATATCAAACTCAACGTGAAAGAAATCTGACTTTGCGCCATTTGATCCATCGATATTGGCATGTGTCAAAGCTCCTTCTCTTTCCGACACAACTCTCCAGGTATGTGTTTTTGATGAGGGAATTACACTGCAACATGATGTAGCGTTTAAACATCATTTGTGTGTAGATATGATCATAAAAGCAACAAAAGTCATTATAACACAATTTTAACTTGTATAAATAAAGGTCTAATAAAAAATAAACTCAAAGTATGTTATTTATTTATTCATAAATAGACAATAAGAAGTAGGCTCAACAAGCAGGACATTATTTGATCTAAAGGCATAATGAGAAACCAAGTCACTAATATCTGTCATTGTGAAAAGTGTTACAAAGCCAACCATTCTTATGTTTGGGGACTCTTGTGAACCACAGTGCTGCTTCAGGACCAAGACCACTTATTGATGGAGCCATGCATTCACCTGTCAAGCAAAAAATACTGATGTAAAAGGTACTTGGAACACAAATTCACTTGAGCTATGCAGCAGGGGAATGATCTCAAGTAAGACCATCTCAGAATAATAATAATAATAAAACCTAATTAAAAGAAGAAGAAAAAAAAACAGATTTAAATCTAACTGAGATCCAATGGCATAATCTGCCCTTCATGCCCCAAAACTATTCAATATGACAGAATTAAAACTATTTCACAAAGAACAGTAGTCCAAAATCCACCCACAACAATGTCAAAGATTTACTGCCAGTTACTGTAATGCTTAATGGCAGTGGCTACAGCCATAGGTGGTACGGTCATTTATTAGGTTTATGGGGTCATAACTTTTTCACACCAGAGTAGGCTGGGTTGGAGAGTTTCTATAAACTGCATTTTATATTTACTCTGATGATCTTTGACGGTAAAATGTGTTTGATGGTCTAAACATTGAATAGTGACAAAATAGCAAAAACCGAAAGAAAATGAATAAATTAGGGGAAATATATTTTCACTGCACTATATAATAATGTCTAGCTAAATTCTCGCCCACATTTTCTAGAAAGCAGCACTTCAGCCTGTCTGACAGAGTAAGGCATGTATACTATAAAATAAAAAAGAATGTATATTACATAGGCATACGATAAATGACCCGTGGGGTAACGACTTACTTTACCTACAGTTTACACAATGTTCTCCAATGTCAAATCCATTGTAGATTATAGAGAATAAGGCTGAACTTGTGAAAGAGGAGAGACAGAGTCTGACATCCCCCATGGTGAGCTGCATGTCTGCAGAGAACAGAGAGGATCAACTGCAGCTGACAGTCTGCAGTCTTGACTGGCAGATTGCTGGAGTCATGAGCTCTAAGGGGAGAACTGTGTCAGGATTTGGGGGGTGGGTGCCAGGAAGACACAGAAGCTATCCCCATCTGGGGATCCGTCAGAGGCCGATTTGACAATGCATCTGTTAAATGTTGCAGTTTTTGTGATAGCCTAAACTTTTCCATCGTACACTTGTTCCTGCAAGATCCTGTACTCATTCTGGTGTCTTTGATAATTAAGCAGGGAAGCATGTTGATTTCCACTGCTATGAATAATGTACAAATATATGTTGCATTATAGATAAAAATAAATAAATAAATAAAAAATAAATAAAAAATCAGTTACTGATAAAAATGTGTACATTCAGCAGGATCAGTGGCGTCAAAGGACTGGCTATCTATGAACTTAGTTTCTGTTCCTTAACTGAAATAACCAAATAAATTCAGATTTTAAATCACAGATTTTTCATTCTGCATGAGCTTCTGTGGTTGATTCTGAACACTATACTCTGTGCTTTAAACATGTCTAGCATCATAAGATGTGTATCACAAACTTTTCCCACCCAAACAGTCATCACAGGCAATAAAACTTTATAAAATTCCAGCAAAACTCTAAATCTAAGACGCATTACATTATGAAAGAAGGTTCACTGTGAAAGACTTGTTACAGCAATAATCATTTAGCAATTATTGCTCTAGATCACTGTGCTGATACTATATCGTATATTGGTGCACGTGAGACACACCTAAGCATAACTAGGGGGACTTAATGAAAACCAGCTATTGGGAAAAAATAAAAAAAATAATTATTCTGGCTTGGTTTCATTAGAAAGATACTACTGCCTAAAAACAAAAGATTGCATTGCTTGGGTAATTATGAAGGTGTATTAATGGAGAGAAAATCTACATGTGGCCTAAATATATCTAAATCTATCATTGTGAGCTAAGAGTCGCAAATACAGACTTACAGAGATTATAAATCCTTTGCTTTTGAATGTGTTAAAAAAAAGTACTGTCTTGCCCATCAATACAGATAGCAGTGCTAAGACAATAAAGAAATAAAAAGAATCCAAATAGGACACGTGGCTGCTACTCTTCTGGTGTGAAAACAAGACTGAGATTATATTAAAACATTATGCAGGAGGTAAATGGGTACAATGGTAATGAGATGGTGAGAAACAGAGAAACACCACCTCAACATTCATCATCCTTAGAAAAATAATATATTGTTAGCATTGTAAGATCTACGAGATGAAAAGATAAAAGCCAAGTATCATCATTTCGAGATTCAATTTAGATATAAAATCTCTACATTTTATTTTAAACCAAATGTAAAAAACATATATAACAATCTGTCCGTCAATAGTTGAATTTTTTTTTTTAACTAGATAAGTGATTTTAAAATGCACATCTCGGACTTAAAAGGAATCTTTTGAGTCAGCCCTTCAAAACTTCCATTATGCAATTCCATATATGATTGATGATGTAACGTATTGAACCATCTAAAAATCAGTAGTCAAAGAATGGATTGCTCTCTTGAACTTTCTAATGGGAATAAGCTGGATGGAAGTGTGACCACTGAAAAAAAATGGTATCCTTTTCATCACAACTTTTGCAACTAGAAAACGTGGGGTGAATTCCATGAAAGCACACAGATGACGTGGAAGTATTTATACTCAGCCTAAAACAACACTGCATGTTTCTTTATGCAATATGTATTGGAAGCACAAGACTCCGCAAGGATCATGAAACAATTAAAATCTTGAATTTAAGGCAATTTAGGGCCTGAAGCAGGAGGACACATCGCAGATGTGACTACAAATAGCTCAAGCAGAAACATTTCAGGATGGGATGAAGATGATTTTTAAACATATTCTGCTTTGTGGTGAACACAAAACACCTTCAAAAGCCTTTCATTTTATCCCCAAATACATAATTGTAGTGGTAACACTTCATTCACATAAATGATCCCGTAAAGTACAATCGGTTAAAATTTTATGTTACTGAGATGTAAAACAAACTAAAAATTTTATGCTTTTATGGGGAAAAAAAAAAAGCTCGGAAAAAATGATGAAATTACAATATTTATCAATAGATTAATTAAATAAAAACTCGTTGGTGGCAGCCCAGAATTGAGGTTGCCATTGTGGGCTTGAATTATATGCACTCTTTGTCATCATCGCATAGATAGTGCTAAGGCTCAGTCCTTCCATGTTAAAGGCAATTTATCCCTTAACACAGAAAAAATGTTCCCACAGAAAGTACCCCAGGACAAGCACATCCCTGTTTGTTTTATTAATATATTTTATTTATTGTAGTTCTAATCTACCCCCAGTCATGCCCAAGGTGCCCTGCTGAAAATTTTATACTACTAAAAGAGTTGTTCCTTTCCACTGTCATCAGTGATGGGAATGTGAAATTGCTGCAAACTCACTACCTGGATGAAACTCTTACTGATGAATACCAAAATTTACATTTTCCAAGGAACTGGATTAGTTCTATGATCAAATCGGACAGTAGATAATTGAATTTCAATGCATTTATCAGACTGAAATATAGTTATAAATTAATATTAATCAAATCTGTTGTGCTTTGAGATTATATTTGTTGTGAATGTGAACCAACTTTACATAAATCAACTCAATTGAATTGGATGAAAATATTTAACCTTGGCAAGCTACTATGACAATCAGGTAAATAATAGCCCTGGTTTAATGCAGGGAAGCAAAGTGGTGTGGTGGCTGCACCAGAGTTAACTAGTGCATTTTAAAGTCAATGTTGTTTCGGCTTATGTGCAATCGATTAATCAATGAGTCTCACAATTACAGACGTTCATAACCAACTGATTTTCCCAAAATAATATAAGCAGTAATTTCAGAAAGTAATATTTTGCTAGACAATTTTCACCAAAACAAAGGGATAAATGTGCAAAACTACAGCGACAAATGACGCGGTTGTTTAAATGCCTAGTTTAAACAGGCAAGAGAGAGGAGACGCTACTTGTCTACTTCAATGAAACTATCCGCGTTTTAAACGTTATTCTGCCGTTACGTAGTAGATGTCAACCGTTACAATCTCTTAATTAGCATTTGATAACATAAGCTAACATCACGTAAAAGCACAGGTAACATTCAATTGCAGTTTAGGCGTAAAAAAAAAGGATATCGTTACGTCCCGCTGTCACAGCGTTCCACAGTACAAAAAACCCCCACAGCGTTCACAACAAAGACGAACCAACTCACCATGGTAAGGATAAGGAGATGGGGTGTCCGTGTTTCTAGCCATGGCAGTTAGTAGAACAAGCACACCACCGCCGTGCTGGTGTTGGAGACTGCATATGAGAGTCGAGGTGAGGGTCAGTTATTTTATCCCGTCGCAGTAGCAGAAACAGGGACAGCAGTCCCGTAGTGAAATAAACAAAGGCAGCCTGCACGGTCTTGGGCTCTTGGATGCTCTGAGGATGCTTCATCCACGCAGCTGAGCGTCAGTCGTGTTTACAGCGCGACGTCATTAATTATTCCAAAACGGCGTTAAAGGGGCCGCTCCCCCTTCCGTGTTTCTTTGTTATGAACGAGACTCGGTAATATTCCAAATGGACGAGGAGTTCGCTTATTAAATAAGACTAACAACCGACTTTTGAATACGTGCTGTGAGTCTTTCTCGGAATAACTGAAGAAATGTTATATTACACTATTTAAGGTACTGACAACTATCCGAGAGTGAGTGAACTAAAGAGAGAAACACTGACCTCAGTCGGGATTCCTGCGATATTGCATAGTTTTCTTTGTCTCTTTGTCTTAGCCTCCCCCTCAAATTCTATCAAACCCCAAAATAGGTTTCATACCTACCTCTTTATTGCCTGTTTATTTAAAAATTTTGCCCTTTCCATACAGGTAATAGTGAAAGATTTTGTATTAATGAAGCCAAAAAAAAAAAGAAACTAATCTACAAAAATAATGTGTGACACAGTCTGACTGAAGTCTGATTCACAAACACTCACATAGTAGTCGTAAGTTATATCATTTATAGAATGCCTCGGGTTTTTTTTTTTTTTTTTTTTTTTTTTTTTTTTTTTTTTTTAAAAAAGAGAAAATAAAAACAAATAAAACAAATCA